AGTGGAATGAAGGGCAGCATTTCCATGGCTTTCCTAGAAGTTCCTGTCCCGGCAACACAGAGTTCATTCCAACCCAGTGAGGTAAGAATGAGCGTTCGCAACAGCTGCAGACTGGGGAGCTTTATTTAGACTCTCTTCCAAAGCTACCTCCGCTCTCAATCTGACTCTGCTCCCAGCGAGCCGGGGCTGGCGCTGAAGACTCCCCTGGGCTAGAGCTGCCTGTGCAGGTGAAGTGCATAACAGCACCAAAGCCTCCATGTTCCTTAGGGGATGGCCTGACACTTGACCCAGGCAGCCGCTGGCCATCGGTCCTTGCCCAGCTCCTCCATTCCGCACCCTGGGGTGCTGTCATGCCTCTTTCAACTAATAGAAAGAGACACATCCAGGAAGCCAAAGTTCAAAAGTAGACCTCCACTCAGAGACAGAGAAGAGTGGTTCAGAAATGTTTGTTGCCTTCAGATAAATCAGAGCAGGAAGAAAGGGAACACAAATTCCAAGAGTCTGAGATCAGATATAATATAAAAGCATTTGAATCTAAGGTCATTAAAAAAAAAGGAAATTAACCCTTCCTGAGTGAAAACAGCCATATGCTAGAACGGTTTCTTTAAATAAACTTATTTTTCTGCCTTTTTTTTTTTTAACACTGAGTTGCTTTATCTCTTCAGAGATACCTATAAACCAGGAATATTTGGAAGACAAAATACCTAGAGGCAGATATTAAATCTATTTAAAGTTCTTGAGAAAAATAAGTTCTTGGTAGTGAGCTGGGAAGAGTAAAAAGCCCTAATTTATCAGTTTCTGTAAATACTCCTACCAGGACCAATTTCTTTTTTAAAATATATTTATTTATTTGGTTGCTTCGGGTCTTGGTTGCGGCACACAGGGTCTTCTGCTGGCTAGGGCTCAGTAGTTGTGGCACACAGACTCTCTAGTTTGGGGGCTTGAGCTTAACTGCCCTGCAGCATGTGGCATCTCAGTAGAGAACTGAGGATCAAACCCATGTGCCCTGCATTGGAAGCTGGATTCTCTATCACTGGACCACTAGTGAAGTCCTCAGGACTAATTTCAAGCTACTGATGTGACATCCCGGAGCATGGAATCAGGAAGAAATGGACACATGGGTCTTGTGAACCAATACAAACCAACAGCAGGATAGCAGTGCTCCTCTTAATTCTAATCTGGGCTTCCCAGACAACCTCCGGCGAGTGGCTAATGAAGATCAGGCTCGGAGAGACAAAAGGTACTTCCTTTTGTGTGCTTAGACACTCATCTGTTTGGGAAACACTTCACATCGCAGGGCACAGGAAATCTTTGGAGTAGGGGAGATGAGCACTTTCCCACTTGCAGAGTTCTTATTCCAGTCTCAGAATGGCTGGTCTGCTTAGTCCCTGCTTGCAGTCACAACATTATAAAGGGAGACACTGCTTCCCCTGAAAGAGTTTCTATGGCAACCTCACCCAGCAGGCAAAGAACAGCACATTAAGCTTCAGCCAGAAGGTTAGGAGATAAAAATAAATTCTGATTAATCCAGGACCCACGTATGACTAAGGTTCAGGAATTACCTGAAAACATAAAACCACTGGTCAGAGTGAAATCTGCATATTTTCTTTTCCTTTCTTAAGAAAAGTAAAACCCACAAACAAATGAACTGATGCTTTTTCTTTATCATGATGGCGCCTTGAAAAGCAGAGCCCTTTCTCTGAGGCAGGATTTCGCTGGTAGCTTTTCCCTCTGAATTTCTTATTCCCTGTACGTAAGGTGGCAAAGGAAGCTATAAACTGAGAGCTGATATGACCCAGTAGGAAACTAGTGACCACAATTCCTATTTCAGAGTTGATTGCCACAGCCCAGAGACCTGAAATGAAACTCCTTATATCATGAGTCAGTGAAATTTCTAGATTTCTTAAATCTCTTACCTTTAGAAACACCTTGCCTGACAACCTTACAAATGAACAGTGAGGCTCAAATGAGGTCATAGATGTGAAACGATTTTGAGAAAAATGAGAAGGTTCTGTGCAAATGTAGGTTGTGATGATGGCTATTATTATTAAGCCTTGGGTTTGGGTGAGGGGGACGCTGAGGGAGCAGGAAGAGCTCATGCTATGGGGGCAGGAGGGGGCAAAGTCCTCATCAGCCAGGGATCAAATGATTGAGCCAGACAGTCAGTGCTCATAAGGCTGAATGTTCATTCCTGCAACACCCGAACTGCAGACTCTGTGTTCTCATTTCAAAATGATTTCCTTCTAGTGTCACTCCATCCACCCTCACAGAGGTGTTCCCTCCTCCCATTCCGACTCCCCAAACCCAGATCTGCACCAGCCTGTCTGACCCTGTTATTCTCTCCATGTTTGGATGTACATGAAGACACAGCCTCCTTCTACTAAAATTATAGCCCACATCCTTGCTTAAGGCATATTATTTTTCTCCCGTAAATTCCAGAAATTTGGCCTACTTACCTCTGTTCTCTTTGGGCTTCCCAGGAGGCTCAGTGGTAAAGAATCCGCCTGCCAATGCAAGAGATGCGGGTTCAATCCCTGGGTCGGGAAGATCCCCTGGAGAAGGAAATGGCCACCCACTCCTGTATTCTTGCCTGGGAAACCCCACGGACACAGGAGCCTGGAGGTCTACAGTCCTGTGGGGATCATGAAGAGTCGGACACAACTTAGCAACTGAACAACAACCTTTATTCTCTTTAGCGGCTGCTTCACTTTTGGGCTTTCTTTCCATACCTGCCCCTTATCTTCAGCATAAGGAAGAGAATCTCTGAAGTCAGTTTAGCCTGCTTCAGAAGACTAAGAGGCCTTTGAAAATTTGAGGAGATAGGTCATTTTCTAAAATGTATTTTTATTTTTTAATTTCCCTTTTTTTTTTAAACAAAAGGTTTTATTTTGAATCAATTATAGATTCAGAAGGAGTTGCAAAAATAGTACAAATAGGGAATTTCCTGGTGGTCCAATGCTTAGGACTCTGGGCTTTCACTGCCGAGGGCACAGGTTCAATCCCTGGTTAGGGAACTTAGATCCCAAAAGCTGAGTGGCGAGACTAAAAAGAAAAATAAATAGTACAAATAGTCTCATGTCAGTCTTCAGCCAGCTTCCCATGGTGACATCGTATATAACTGAAGTATGATATCGAAACTGGCAAGTTGGCATTGGTACATTAATGTTAACTAGACTACAGATCTTATTCACTGTTTACCATTTTAAAAAGCTACATTCATTTCTGTGGTTGTGTGTGTGTATAGTTCTGTGCAACTTTATCCCATGTAAAGATTTGTATAACCATCCCTACAATTAAGATCCAGAACGCTTCCGTCACCACGAAAGGACACCCTTATGCTGCATCTTCGTATGAATGCCCACCCCCACTCCACTTCAGTCCTATCCCTGTTTCCTAGCAACTGTTAATCTGTTCTCCATCTCTCTCTCTCTTTTTTTTTGTCATTTTTAGAATGTTCTATGAAGGTAACGTTTTGAGATTGACTTTTTTCAGTAAGTATACGGTCCATGAATTCTGTTCAGGCTGTTTTATGTATCAAATTTCTTTTTATTAATAAGTACTTTCCGGTGATAGGCAACCCACTCCAGTATTCTTGCCTGGAGAATCCCATGGATGGAGGAGCCTGGTGGGCTACAGTCCACAGGGTCGCAAAGAGTTGGACATGACTGAGCGACTTAACTAACTAACTACTCCAGTGATATGGATATATGAGAGTTTGTTCTATCATTTATTCAAAGAAAACTTTCCGGTTGTTACCAGTATTTTGTTCTCATAAATAAAGTTGTTATTAACATTTGTGCATAGATTTTTGTGTGAACCTGAGTTTTTATTTCTCTGGGATAAATGCCCAAGAGTCATATGACCCAGAAATTGCTGGATCATATGGTAGTTGCATGTTTACTCTTATAAGAAACTGCCAAATGGTTTCCCAGAGTGGCTGTAACAATTTCACTCCCACCGGCAATCTATGAGTGATCCAATTTTTCTACATCCTTGCCAGCTTTGATGCTGCCACTATTTTTTTTTTTTTAGTTTTGACTGTTCTTAAAAATGTTTTTTAACCCAGAGGGGTGGGATGGGGTGGGGAGTGGGAGGGAGGCTCAAGAGGGAGCGGACATATGTATACCTATGGCTGATTCACATTTTCGTATGACAGAAACCAAACAATAAAGCAATCATCCTTCAATTAAAAACAAATGTTCTTTAAATTGTGTTGTGATATCTTATGATTTTGTTCGTTGCTGTGATGTTGAACATCTTTTCATGTGCTTATTTGCCACCTATATCTTCTTCTTGGTAAAACATCTGCTCATTTCTTCTGTGAATTTTATAATTGTTCTTTTTTAAAATTGTTTATTTTTTAGAGTTTCTTCTATGATCTAGATATAAGGCCTTTGTCAGATATGTGGTTTATAAATATTTCCTCCTGATCTGTAGTTTTTACTTTCATTCTCTTAAATATTTTTCATCAGGCAAAAGTTTTTAATTCTGGTGAAGTCCAATTTATCATTTTTTTCCTCTTATGTGTTATGCTTTCGGTATCGTATCTAAGTATGTCTTCACCTAGCTCAAAGATTGTCTCCTTTAGTTTCTTTCTTTTTTAAAAAAATATATATAATTTTATTACAAAATTTTTTTAAAAAAAGAAAATGCAACATTCGCATTCTAGAAAACTCAAAATTTGCTATTGATGCTAATTTCTATGAGTTTGCTGTGCTACCATACACAAGTCAAGAAATTAAAGAAACCATTAAATATTTAGAAACATTTAACATCAGAAGCTTGAAAATCTAACTGTATGTAGTAGCCCCTCAAAAAGCCACGACTTGCATTTTTAAAAAAGTATTTTCTCTACAAAGAATCTTATCAGCTATACAAAAATCTGTGCAGTTTTTATACTGAGTTTTTTTATATTGAGCTGCAGTTGAATTCACATTCTTAGCAAAACAATTGCCTGAGCACACACGCACACTCCACACACATCATTACAAGATAGTCATTTATTCCTCATCTTCCTCTTCTTCCTCCTCATCTTCTGGTTCATTCTTCTTCTTGGAGCCTGTCGGCCTGCCAGGGCCCTTTTTTTCCCGCTTCACTCTTGCCCTTGGCACGGTATGCAGCAATATCTTTTTCGTATTTCTCCTTTAGCTTAGCTGCTTTCTGCTCATACGGCTGTTTATCTTTGGCTGACTGCTCAGACCACATTTCACCCAATTTTTTTGCAGTATCCCCAAGGGATAAGCCAGGGTGTTCACTTTTGATCTTTGGGCGATGTTCGGAGCAAAAGAGGAAGAAGGCAGATGGAGGCCTTTTCGGAGCGTTGGGATCTTTTTTCTTTCCCTTCTTGTCACCTCTAGGAGGGACATAATTTTTCATCTCCCTGTCGTAGCGAGCTTTGTCAGTTTTTGCCATGTCTTCGAACTTGGACTTTTCCTTGGCCGACATGGTCTTCCATCTCTCGGAACATTTCTTGGAAAACTCTGCGAAATTGACTGAGGAGTCGGGGTGCTTCTTCTTGTGCTCCTCGCCGCAGGTCTGCACGGAGAAGGCGTCCGAAGACATCTTGCCCCGCGGCTTGCTGGGGTCGCCCTTCCCCATGATGCTGCTGCTGCGGCGGAGGCGGCGTGTCCACCTGGCGAAAGAGTGTCCTCCGAGTTCCGCGCAGCGGCCGCGGTTCACCGCGACGCTGCTGCCCCGGCTCCGGCGTGAACTGGTTCTCTCCTATGATTTCTTGTGAAATTTTCTAGTTTCACATTACATTTAATTTATTTTAAAATTTCATGTATTTATTTTTATTTTTTAATATTGTATTTTTATATTTATATTTATTTCTTTATTTGGCCATGCTGCGCAGCATGTGGGATCTTAGTACTCTGACCAGGAATGAAAACCACGCCTGCTGCAGTAGAAGTATGGAGGTGGAGTCTTAACCACTGGACAGCCAGGGGAGTCCCCCACATTACATTTAAATCTGTGATACATTTTGATACATGTAATTGTTTATATAATATTAAAATTAATTTATAATTATATAAAATTTAATATTATATCTTATATAATATTTAAGTTAACTTGTAATTATATAAAATCTAATTATATTTTGTATATAATATAAAATTGATTTATATAATTAACTTATAATTATATAAAATTAAATATGTACATTTAATTTTTGTATATGATATGAGGTTTATGTCAAGGTTCATTATTTTGCCTACATAAGTAACTGTTCCATCACCATTTGTCAAAAAGACTATCCCTCCTCCCCTGAATTACTTTTGCAAATATTTTGTCAAATATTAGTTGGGTGTGTTTGTGTTGGTCTGTTTCTGAATTCTTCATTCTGTTCCACTGATCTATATAATTATTCATTCATCAGTATCACACCATCTGGATTACACTATCTACAAAATAAATTTAATTACAGGCACAGTGATTCTTCCTACTTTATTTTTTTCCAAAATTATTTAAGCTGTTCTACTCCTTTGCTTTTTTCATATAAATTGTATGTGAAGCTTGTCCATGTCTACAAAATTTCTTGCTTGGATTTTGACAGAAATTGCTTGCTTGCTTGACTGATTTTGAAGAATAGCTTTATTGCTTTGCCAGGCTCAGGGGACCACAGAGGGCTAATGCCCTCAAAACTGTGTGTCCCCAAAAGTGCTTTAAGTGAAAGTGTAAGTGGCTCAGTCATGTCTGACTCTTTGCAACATGGGCTATACAGTTCATGGAATCCTCCAGGCCAGAATACTGGAGTGGGTAGCCTTTCCCTTCTCCAGGGGATCTTCCCAACCCAGGGACTGAAGCCAGGTCTCCCACCTTGCAGGTGGATTCTTTACCAGCTGAGCCACATGGGAAGCCCAAAAATTCTAGAGTGTGTAGTCTATCCCTTCTCCAGTGGATTTTCCTGACCCAGGAATCGAACCAGGGTCTCCTGCATTGACAGGCAGATTCTTTACCACTGAACCACTTGGGAAGCCCTTTTTCCAATTGGTATACCTCTTATTTCCTTTTGTTGCCTTATTGCTTTGACCAAGGCCTCCACTAGTATGTTGAATAGGAGAATGAGCATGGACACCATTCCTGTGTTCCTAATCTTAGGAGGAAAGCATTCACTTCACTGTGAAATGAAATGAAAGCATAACATTTCACTGTTAAATATGATGTTAACCTCTGATTTTTATAAATGATCTTTGCTTAGTTGAGGAAGTTTCCTTTTGTCCCTAATCTGCTGAGAAGTTTTATCATGAATGGATGTTGAATTTTGTCAAATGTCTTTTCTATATTAATTGATTTTTAAATATTGTTCAGCCTAGCTGAATTATTCCAGTCCTTACCCCATTGGTCATGGTATATAATTCTTTTAATATATTGCTGGATTTGGTGTTCTTTCAGGTTTTTAAAAAATAAATCTTATTTTTAGCAGAGTTTTAAATTTTAGTATTCATTTATTTGGTTGCATCAGATCTTAGTTGCAGCACACAGGATCTTCATTGTGTCACGTGGTGCATGGACTCTAGTTGTGGCCTGCAGGCTCTGGAGTGGGCAGGCTCAGTAATTGTGGCAACTGCAGGCTTAGTTGCTCCGCGGCACATGGGATCTTAGTTCCCCATGAAGGATCGAACTTGCAGCCCTTGCATTGCAAGACAGATTCTTAACCACTGGACCATCAGTGAAGCCACTGCTAGGAGCTTTAAAAAGTATGTTTGCATCTAAGCTCATGAGAAATATAAGCCCGAAGTTTTATGGTTTTTAGAAAAATTGTCTGGTTTGGGTATTAGCATAACATTAGCCTCATAAAATGAGCTGGGTAATGCTTTCCCCTCTTGTAGTTTCTGAAAATATTTTGTAGAACTTATGCTAATTTTTTTCCCAAATGTTTGATAGAATTCTCCAGTGAAACTATCTGGGCCTGAGGAGTTTCTTCCCGGAAGTTTTCAATGTTTTTAATAATTACAGGTAATGTCATTTCTCTAATAATGTTCAGATGATCTGTTTTATATTAGGTGAGATCTTTAATGTTTTTTTAAGTCTGAAATCTGGATTTCCTAGAAAGCAGAACTGGAGATACAAGTTTATGGGCTATTATTTGGTTAGGGTGATATATCAGAAATTGGGAGAGAGGGAAAGGGGAGTTGAGAAGGAGGAGGATGAAGCAACACAAGAGCATGTTACTGACTCGATCATCAGCTGACACAGAGCAGGACTAGATGCCTGACTTCACTGGATCTCCCAAGCTATACATAACTCTATTTCAGGAAAGTTTCTCTGGGGGCTTCCCTGATAGCTCAGTTGGTTAAAAATCCGCCTGCAACGCAGGAGACCCGGGTTTGATTCCTGGGTTGGGAAGATCCCCTTGAGAAGGGAAAGGCTACCCAGTCCAGTATTCTGGCCTAGAGAATTCCATGGGTTGTATAGTTCGTGGAGGCACAAAGAGTCAGACACGCCTGAGCAGCTTTCACTTTCTCTGGGGAAGGAAGAGAAAATTTATCCACTGGAGCCCATCTTCCACTGGTTATAGTTTATCACGGCGTTACTTTCTCCTGTGCTCTAAGCCACTCATGTGTAAGCACCCAACTGGTCCCGTGGTTTCTCACCTCCGTGTCAACAGCGAATCTCCTGGGCGAGAGCTAAGTGGTACCAGCTCAGGCCTAAAGCAAAGCACTGTCTCATTGTGCTGCACAAAGCTGGTCTGTTTAGTAGAGGTGGTTGTTACAGTGAGAAGACCGAGAACAGGTGATCCAAGGCCTCCAAGATGGTGAAGCTGAGAGCCTATTCAAAGCATGGGGCTGGTGGAAAGCAAGAGCAAAGAGTTTAAAAATAAGCCAATCATTGGGTAAGTTTCAAGAAATCTCAAAAATAGTCTCCTAAGTTTTGTACTTAATCTTCACTTGAAATATAAGTAGAGTTAAGCCTGACTTTCTCATACAATCTTTCTCCCTCTGGTACAATTTACCTTCATCTTTTGTATCCAAGAACGGAGTTTATCAATCTTCCACTTTCCTCAGCAAGAACCCCTTCCCGCCTGAGTGAGTCCATGTTTTCTTTCCACAGAGGAGGTCCTGTGGATGTCACAGAAGCTCTGTCATGAAAGTGCCACACACGTGGAGGAAGTAGAGAGGCTTCCAGACCCAAATGGACCATCTAGAGTCTTAAATGGCTCAAGACAACTGCCTTCATTCCTGTCTTACATATTAAAAGGGAGCTTAGGCCATTCCCTGAGACAAAATATTCCCATTTCCACGATCCTTAGCCTAGAAGCCATCGTTTCTTTTCCCCCTCTGGCTGCACCACTGAATCTTAGTTCCCCAGCCAGGGATTGAACTGACGCCGTCAGCAGCGAAACTGCAGAGTCCTAACCACTGGACTGCCAGGGAATTCTCAGAAACAACCTTAAGAGTCAATGGATCATGCCTCTGTTTTCAGGCATGACAAATATCTACAATCCTATACCGAGAAGAGTTTATTAAATTTTTAATTAAATTGTATTTTTTTACCAAAGTAATAAATATACATAATTTTAAAGCCAAATAGCACCACAAGGCTTATAATAATGAGTCTTCCCTGCTTTCCACCCTCTCCACTCTTAAGTTCCATTCTCTCAGGGCAAGCACTCACATCTCCTTTAGCGGTTTCTTCTGATGTTTTCCTCTATATAGAAAAACAATATGGTTGTGCTGCCATACCTTTAGATCTGAACTGTAGACATATATATATATTTAAACATATGGGGCTTCCCAGGTGGTGCTGTAGTAAAGAATCTGCCTGTCAATGCAAGAGATGCAAGAGACAAGGGTTCCATCCCTAGGTCAGGAAGATTCCCCTGGAGAAGGAAATGGCAACCTGCTCCAGTATTCTTGCCTGGGAAATCCCATGAACAGAGGAGCCTGGTGGGCAACAGTCCATGAGGTTGCAAAGAATCAAACACTACTGATTACATAATGCACATATAAACACACACACACATACATATATACATTTCCTATTACTGTGGGTGGGGAAAGGAGATTTGAGTGGTTGTCCTGAGATTTCCCCTTCCCTGTCCTCTCTCTCTGGTTCCAGGAATAATATTCCAGGCATAGAGTAGTTGCTGGAGAACATGCAGAACAATCATTGACTGCCTGGCCATACCAGTGCATATCAGATATATATCACATTGTTTGTTTGTCTAAATTAGGAAGCAGCCTAAGACAGTAGAAAAATGCTCAAATTCTGGACCCAGACTGCCTGGGTTCAAAGTCTACTTCTGCTACTGGTGACTGTGCAACCTCAGGCAAATTGCCTCATTAATCTGTGCCTTTACCAGGGATCACAATGGTGACTACCTTGTAAAATTTTTGTGGGGGTTAAATGAGTAAATGCAGATAAAGCACTTAGATCAAAGCTCTACTAAGCCATGTACCTGCTTGCTATTAGGATTACTTTGTCTTTATATTGTCACTAATATATTAGAACCTCATGCTGAGTCAAGAAAATGTGATGAATTTGTTTACTTTTTTATGACCCTACACTGAATCTTTCCATTCTTCCAAAGAACTATCAGACTTCCCTGGTGATTCAGTGGTTAAGACTCTGTACTTCCACTGCAAGGGGCCTGG